GTCAAGTGATTTTCACGGGAGTTAGATGATCTTCATATTAGATTGCACCCAGTGTGACATATCGTCGGACTGATAACGTAATTTCAAAACCTTCAGTGACTGACGCTTACAATCAAAATGTTGATGTTATTATCGGTTCATATACAAAACTTCTTTGCAGAAACAATTCTCCTCTCATTATAGCAGTGGAGGAAAACTTTTCATTTTTGGTAGTATCTATTGGCTAAGTTTTGAGGCCATAGCCTACGTTCTTGAGGTTTACACGCCTTTACTGGTCGACGGACGCATGATCAGCGTATACTAATATGGATTTGTGACTTCCCCCTATCGGTTTGGAATTACGTACCCCCAATTATTTTGGGACGGACGCAATATCGGGGTAGCCGCAACTGCTTTTACGGGAAATCCATTTGATTGAGTCAAGTATGATGTGCCCGATTCTTTATTACGCTATCGAAAGTCTTTGGTTTTCTAAATTGTTTGCTCGTATTAGTTATGTTTAAAAAGCTGTATGATAAGGCTCTCTTACCAAAGCAGGATGTGGATAATGGTGTTAGACCCATATCGATATGAAGTGAACTTAGATATAAATTCAAATTGTATAGCCCATAAACAAATTTGTTATCGTGGACATATTAACTCCTCCCTACACACACACACACACACACACACACACACACACACACAAGAGAAGCGTTGCAGTTTTTCTGGTTTGTTCGTATCAAATTTTCTTGCCAAGCAAACATTATCGTTGCAAGTTAGTCAGAATTTTCTTTTGAAGCGTAGACTTTGACATAAGCACGAACTGCAACATTGTTTACGTCTTATTTACCACGTGAATAGCGGTAGCGTTTCCATGCAGAGATGATGTGACGTATTAATTAGTTAATATTAGAGCTGTTCATTTTCCCGACAAATTATTCACCAACAATTATCTTGTGTCAGTAGTCAAAATAAATCTGGTGGACAATTTAGACGGTTTGACAAACCGATTAACAGATTGTTTTCTACAGAGACGATAAAGTTTGACAAACGTTTGGGATAACGAACGACTTATGATAAAATAATTACCGAGGAAATAGACGACTGTGGAACAGTGAACTTTATGATACAGAATATATTGGTCGCATAAATGCTCATACAGTATGTATCTCATCGACATATTCGGTAATGAATACTCTATGTTTAAGGTAACAACAAATTTCGCTATCAAACGAGTATACTATTCGAAAAAAAAATAATAAAACATTTGATTTTACTATAACTTACATATCACTACTTCATCGAAGAAGCGCTACGTAATTACAATTAGTTGTTTAAACTCAACAACATGTTTTCTGAAAAGTAGACAGTCAATTAGCTTCAGGATGATACAAAAGATAATGTTATTTGGTTAGTAGATACGGCCGAGGGCGACGTTTTACTATTGATCGGCAATACAGTGATTTCAGAAAAGTCACGAGGAATATTAGTGTAGTCAACTTCATTTAACCGGTATTTACGTTAGACAGAAAATCTTCAACAAAATGGCACAATGTACCACTACCACAGTAATTAATAGCACACACGGAGCCAGAGCCGGAAGTTCTGCCCATTAAACACAGCTATCCTGCTTAGTACACGCCTTCTAGTGTTGATGATGTTCCTTGACAATCTAGTAAAAATGTCCTTCAACATTTCAACATGTCAATATTTCGTCATAATTATGTGAGACTTTGTAAGATATGAGAAATTTGATAGTGGGCTATTGGGGATAAGAACATATTAAGTGGGATACAACCTGAGGAAGTTTTATATGAAACTAAAATAGAGAAATCCGCCCAGCATCAAAGCTGAGATATATCTGACGCGAAGATGGAATACCATAGTGGGGTATAAATGAGAACGACTGTATTATGCAAACTAATACATGATTTAAAATACTAATACCGCATGCCAGAGTTACAGCTGCGCATGTTACGAGTCTGACTGTTATTGTCAATAATGTGTCTGCCATGTTACATTTATTGCAGTGAAACTCGTTATTTTCTAACCATAATAATAACAACCTGGTCATATTAACGCTGGCTTATTATTATATTCCTATTACGAATTTACTTTACTCACCATAAAGAACGCGTTTGCGATATAAATTTATTGGGTCAGCACAAACTGTCGAAGCCAATGTGTATATCGATATATTGACACCTCCAATTTATGCGTTTAGTAATGGTCTTAGGAATAAGCTTTATAAAAAAACGTAGATAAAGAATAAAGTCTTGTAAAACGTCTGCTATAAAAAAAATTGATATATCGGTGATTTTTTCTGTGTGAGGAGAGACGTGGACATATTTGTAGACTTTTTATTACTTATAATAAATTACTTAATTTGTGATAAGTTGTCAATACGACGAAGTTATCAAACTTGTCGAGTCCAGTGTTAAAACGGTCACAGTCTGCCGTCGTATTGTTTGCAACGTCTATGGCTGAACTCAGAATCGTGATAAGTTTCGAATTAAATATGTATGATAGTAAAATAATACTTTAGAGTAGCAAACTGCTTACGAGATTACGACTGTGTGCCCCCCTCAAATGGTTAAATGAGCAGAAATAATTTCATGTTTATAGCACTGTCTGCGGTCATCGCCCTTATCCATATTCAAAAGGTTTATAAACTATGGCTAGGTCTGGACTATGGCTAGGTCTGTATTACTTCTTAATGGTGATAAGTGGAACGTTCACTCACCAATAATTAAACTGTGTTTTAATATTAAGCAAGCAAAAGCAATAACTCAAGAGAAGTTCAACACTTACATCTTACAAAAGGACAAATAATGAAGTTAGAATACCAATCTATTGAGTTAAGAAGAGGAGATAAATGGCATTGCAATTTTTGCTCTTTTGAAAAAGAAAAAAGTTTAAATGCTACT